CTCTCATCCAGGACCTTCTCCCATTGCTGCAGCCATGATCTCTCATCCAGGACCTTCTCCTTTTCAGGCCTCCGCCTTACCAAGCATGATGTCCTTCTTCAGGGACTGGTCTCTCCGGATACTATGTCCAAAGTATGTGAGCAGTCTCCCCAGCCTTGCCTCTAAGGAGAATTCTGGCTGTACTTCTTCCAAGACAGATCTGTTTGTTCTTTGTACTGTCCGCGCATCGATTTCTCTTCAGTCTTTCTTAGTCAATGTCCAACTTTCACATGCATATAAAGCAATTGAAGACATCACGGCTTGGGCGAAGCCTTCCTTTTCAACACTTGAAAGAGGTCTCATGCAGCAGATTTACCTAATGCCAGGTGTCATTTGATCTCTTGACTGCTGCTTCCATAAGCCTTGGTCCAAGCAAGATGAAATTATTAACAACTTCAATATTTTCACCATTGATCATGATGTGACCTATTGGTACATTGTGAGGATTTGGGTCTCCTTTACATTAAGTTGTAATCCATACAGAAGGCCAAAACCCTTGATTGCATAGAGGAAGGAAATTCTTTGAAATGGGTAGAAGGCAATAGCTTGGCAATGCTAAATGGGAACGTGGGGCTGCATTGGAGAAAGACTGGTATTGTCCCACATCTATATCCCAGCGTTAATGCATTCTAGTATGAGACTCCAGTGGCATATAACCAATTACACATGTAACCATAGGTAGCAGCAGCATTTATACAGCAGAGAAAAAGAAGTCATGAGTGTGTAACAGCACCATTCAATGAAGCATGTCATATTTTAATACAGCTCTGGCAATTAGGCCTTATCGAATATGCCAGCTAGTGGCTGTCTGCTGTGATGTTGAGAAGGAATGTGAGCTTGCTGCCGGGCTCAGCAGACAGAACCACAAAATTGAAACTGATTACTAGCGTCTGCTCTGGGCACTTAAAAATGATTTCTAGCCAGGGTCCCCTGTTTTTTAAAAATAAACATTCCTGGGTCATATCTCTAGAGATTGTTAGTCATGCGTCTCAAATGGAAGCTGGCATTTCAAAAGCCTCTTTGGTGTTTCTGGCAACACCTGAGTATCCCTGCCCCCGTGGAACATCCAGCAGCCAGTGTCGCGATCCCCAGCCCAGTTAGTGAGTTGCAGTGGAATAAAATTGACCAGACCTTATTTTTGTCATTATTCTGCCTAATCAGGCAGAGAAAGCATGAGTCCACCCACTCGGGGCTAGCGCACTAACACCTTGTGATCCTTGTAGTCATCTCCTGCGGAGAGCTCCCCATCCCCCCCAATGGGCACCGAATCGGAACCTTGTCCGACTATGGAGCAACAGCCATCTTCTCCTGCAATTCCGCGTACACGCTGGTGGGCTCCAGGGTGCGAGAGTGCATGGCCAATGGACTCTGGGGCGGCTCTGAAGTCCGCTGCCTTGGTAAGTACCCTCCCCAGGCTTGTAGTGCCCATTTTCCTTCTCCGAACCGAATAGGCCTTTTTCCCCACCGAAGCTTAAGACCCCGTCTTTGAACAGTATCCATTTACCTAAGCGTTGACTCCCTAATGCAGATAGAAATGACCCCCACCACCACCCAACCCACACCGTGCAGTAAATGTTGGTTGATGAGAGAAAGAGTGCCAATGATCCTTGAAACTGGGACCTAACGGATCACTTCTCTCCTGCGTACTGACACAAAAGTTAAAGCCTGGAGGGCTGGCCCAGGATACATATTGTCAGTTGGATCCACAGTGGGATTTGGTATTGCCATACACAATTTCTATCATATCTGGAGTACCTGAAGTCACTCCTGAATGGTTACTTTTAGGGGAAGATAGTGTGTGTGGCGGGGGTGGGGGTGGGGGGTAGCTGTGTTGTTCTTTGCTGCCATCAGTTTACCCCCCAACTCATGGTAGTTCCAAGCACAGTGGAACTAAAATCCCGATCCTGTGCCACCCTTGTGATCAGACCCTCGTGACCTAGGCTGATCTTGGGAAGTCACTCCATAGCCTTTCTTCCTAGTCCATCTTGGTCTGGAAGCACCACTGACACGCCTCAGCATCTAGGGTGATATCTACTTTGGCTCTGCGGTCCACCATCCCTGTGTCCCTCCACCCTGGCCAAATTCCACCTCATTTTTCACGTGCTTCTCTCTGTTTCTCTATTTCCCTCCTTCCTGCACCAAAGCTGGACACTGTGGAATCCCGGAGCCTATCGTGAATGGGCACATCAATGGGGAGAATTACAACTACCGGGGCAGCGTGGTGTATCAGTGCAACGCCGGCTTCCGCCTGATCGGCATGTCTGTGCGCATCTGCCAGCAGGATCACCACTGGTCGGGCAAGACCCCTTTCTGTGTGCGTAAGTATGTTGTCCACTCTCCCTAGTCATGGAGCTTAGATTCAGCACATATAGTCCCCCTTTTTTCTTGATAAGGTTTTGTCTTTCTGGTCAATTTTTCAAAGATGTAGTCTTTACATCTAGCACTTTTCATTTCTCTCCCCAATTAATTACTACCTTCATCTTTATTGTTTTCTTCCTTATGGTTGGATGTTTTCTTCTTTTTCTAGCTTTTGAGCTCAAAATTCATCTATTTCTTCCCATTCTTTCATTTCAAATGACTTTTATTAGTGCATTCATGACCGCAATTTCCTATGAAACAGGTCTAGTACATAATGTTTTAATATTTTTTAGAAATTCCCCTAGCTATTTGTTTTCCCTTTCTTGGGAGTTTTTGGCGTGCTTGTTTTATTGTGGTATGGATGGAAGTTGACAGAGAAAATCAGTTTCCCATTCATTGATCTGTGCATTTTTTGTGTCCTGACATTTTGTTGCAATCCCCTCGCTGTAACAGCATTCCTTCCCACTTCCTCCCGGGACTCCCGGTTTCCATTTGTCATTCTTTTCTCCCCGTTCCTGCCTCTGAGGTGCGTTTCTGGGATAATGTTGCTCTTTGGGTCTCTTATGGTTAATGAGTATTTTTGTCCTTTGGGGTCCTATCTATTGATTGCCTGAAAGGTGATCCCTAGGGGTGGGTTCAGGTTCAGGTTTGAAGGGTATTTAAGGGTCATAGGTTTGGAGGCATCAGTAGTCTCTATCAGACCAGTAATCTCATCATTTTTCATGATTTTTAATTTCCTTCTGTTTTTTCTCCTTCTCTGTCCAAGGCCTTCTATGTGATCTTGATCAGGGTGGTTGCTGGGGGTAGCCAGGCACCATCTAGTTCTTCTGGTTTCAAGGTAGTGGAGGCTGATATTAATGTGGTCTGTTAGACCTTTGGACTAATTGCTACCTTGTGTGTTTTTGGTGTTTTTCATTCTTCTTTGGTCCAGACAGGGATCTTGGATGACCGACCGCTTATACAGAAGCTTTTAAGACCCAAGTAGCTACTCACCAAAATAGAATGTAGAACATTGTCCTATGCCAATTGACCTCAGTATCCCCTGAAACAATGGTCCTAAACTCCCAAGCTCATGGACTCATTCCTCCAAGGTGATTGGTTATGGTCAAGAAGTTTTTATAACTCTGATTCCTGTATGCTCTACTGTGCATGCACATATTTGTAGTGCATATTTAGATATATCCTTTTCTAAGCAGATATATAACAAACTGTGACTAGCCTTGAGAAGAATGAGAATTCCAGAACACTTCATTGTGCTCATACAGAACTTGTACATGGATCAAGGGACACAAGGGACTATTGCACAGTTTAAAATCAGGAGAGGTATGCATCAGGGTTGTTTCCTCTCACGATACTTATTCACTCTGTGTGCTGAGTGTGGTAGTTACATAATCTCCTTTCAACTTAAGGGTATTAAGAGTGAATGGGGTGGAGCTTAGACTGTCAATCAGGTTTCAGCTTGATGGACTCATTTGGAGGCACGGAGATAAATAGCCCACTGGAAGCCAGACCCACTCTCTCTCTGCCTTCCCTTTCCTGCTGTTGAGACACTCCGAGAACTGGAGAAGCCACGTAGAGACCTGCGCCAGCATTGAGATGCTTCCAGTGCCACTGGATCCACAAAACTTTCTACCCACCAGCCTGTGACCTTCTTGCATCTGGCATCATTGCATGTGTTGTGTGAATCTAAAGATGAATTTATGGACTAGTATCAGACATATGGGCTAGTATCGGAATTATGGACTTGATCTGGATTTGACTAGGATGTTTTCTCAATATACAATTGCTCTTTGATATAAAGCTCTCTCTTACACACATGTGGATGTCCCTGGATTTGTTTCTCTAGTCTACCTGGTCTAACACACTGAGCAAATAATCAGAGAAGCTGACTACCCGAGGAAGAATAGAGAGTCACCATTGGAATAAGGCTTATTAACAACCTTCAGTGTGCAGATGACACAGCCTTGCTGACTGAAAATGAGGACTTGAAGCACTTGCTGATGAAGATCAAGGATTGCAGCCCTCAGTGTGGATTACAACTCCATGTAAAGAAAACAAAAATCTTCACAACTGGACCAATAGCTAAAAGCATGATAAGTGGAGAAAGGTTGAAGTTGTCAAGGATTTTGTCTTGCTTGGATCCCTAACAATGTTCATGGACACAGCAGTCAAGAGATCAAACAATGGATTACGTTGAGTAAGTCTGCTGCACAAGGCCTCTATAAAGTGTTGAAAAGGAAGGGTGTTACTTTGAGGACTGTGGTAGTTACATAATTCCATGTCAACTTGATATCTAAAAGTGTAGGAGTGGAGTCTAGCCTGTCAATCAGGTCACAGCCTGATGGTACCTCCTTATGGGTGTGGAACCATAAGAAGGCCTCTGGGAACCTGCCCTATTTCTTTAAGCCTTCACCTTCCTGCTGGTGAACCATGGTAGGATCTGCCATAGCCCTGGAGATGCATCCACTGTCATTGGATCCACAAAGCTTTGCACCCACCAGCCTGTGATCTTCCTGTATCCTGCATCCTTGCATGCGGCTTCATGAGTCTAAAGAGGGACTTATAGACTAGTATTGGACTTAAGACTTGAGTTGGATTGGTCTGGATGTTTCCTTGATATACAATTACTTCTTGATATAAAACTCTTTCTTACACATCCATGAGTGTCCCTGCATTTGTTTTTCTAGTTAACCTGGACTAACACAAGGACTAAGTTGCACTTGACCCAAGCTGTGGTATTTTCCATTGACTCATATGCCTGTGAAAGTTGGACATTAAATAAGAAAGACCAAAGAAGAATTTATGCATTTGAATTATCACGCTAGTAAAGAATATTAAAAAGTACCATGGACTGCCAGAAAAACAAACAAGTCTATTTTGGAAGAAGACAGCTGCTCCTTAGAAATGAGGATAGCAAAACTTCGGGTCTCATACTCAGGTCAGGTTGTCAGGAGAGCCCCGTCATGCTTGGTAAAGTAGAGGGGCAGCAAAAAGGTGAAGTCCCTCAGCAAGACGGACTGACACAGTAACTGCACCATGGGCTCCAACATAACCATCGTGAGGATGGCGCAGGACCAGAAGTGTTCAGTTCTGTTGCATATAGGGTCACTATACATTAACCTTCAAGGGCATATAAAAAAACTACACACACACACACTGTTCCCTTTCCTATGTCTATTCAGTTTGCATGTCTACCTGTGTAGCCACTCACAAATTATTGTTATTACTGCTATTGCAGGAGTATGTATGTGATGGTATTTTCCTTTGCTACCTTTAACCCTGTGCACCTCCCAATTCTTCATTTGTCTTGGTCATATTGTGTTCACCATCAAGTCTACTCCAACTCACAGTGACTTCTAGAGTGTTTCCATAAGTCGTTACAAAATGAAGCACCTCGTCTTTCTCCCTTAGAGGGCTGGTGGATAACAGTGCACTGTCCCACAGGAATTTTTTAAATAGAACCTTCTCTAAATAAATGTTCAGGTAATAGGGCCTTTATTGTTATGCTCTTTCATTTCTAATTTTATTGCATTGCATATATTTCCACATTGTAGATTTTACTGCTACTTTCTCTGTGGCCTAACATTATCAATTCTTAGGAATGTTGTATGTGCAGTTGAGAAGAAAGGGTTCTAGGGTGTAGTTAAGTATATATTTACATATTTATACACACACATACACACATGTATATATACGTACACACACACACATATATATATTTATATATAGCCCTGGTAGTTCACATAAATACCATGGTATACATAAATATTATTTATGTTAGGTTAGCATTAGGCTGCTAAGCATAAAAATAGCAGTTCGAAACCACCTTGGAAGAAAGATAAACCTTTATGTTCCTGTAAAGATTTATAGCTTTGCTACTCTGTCCTGTATGGCATCTTTGAGACAAAATCAACTCAATGACAGTAAAATTGTAATTTTGTTTTGGTTTGGTTACACATAACTTCTACCTTGTTATGTTTTTAGCTTCTCTATTCTTAATTTTTGTTTATTTAACCTGTTTTGTTGTGAGAAATGTGTGCAAAATTTTTCTCTCATCTTCTTTAGTTTGTAATACATGAAGGCAATTTGGGTCCACAAAATGTGATCTGTAGCCTTTAAAAAAGTCCTTTAGCATCTTTAGCATTTTCGTTTGTTTCAGTTCCACTTTTTCTGACATTGGATTGCTTTTTCCTTTTTCCATTTGCCTGGTGTACATTTGCCCAGCTATTTATCTCTAATCACGGTAAGCCAGGCCTCTTTACAGCATAGAGCTCGGTCTTATTTTATAAGCCAATTTGAAATCTTTTTCTAATAATGGGTGGATTTAGCCCATTCACATACCTTCATTTAACTGATAGGTTTAATTTCAAATTTGTCATGTTTTGTGTAATATTGTGTTTTTTTTCCAGTTCATTTAACAATTAGAAAAATTGTATCTTGTGTACTTGTACTAATAGCATTTCTATGTGCTTTTGCACTAATGATATTTAAATGCCAATAGACTCTTTGTAACCTCTTTTTAAATGGTTGATCAATTTTTAATAACTTCCACCTATTGACCATATAATAATCAATAAGTTTATTCTATTTTCCTTTGTCTTCCTTATTTTTGTTACATACATTTTATTTGATCAGAGCATAAACTTTTATGCTCTTTCATAAAACTTTTAGAACTTTTATATATTATTTTGTCACACTATATTTTACTCCTAGATAAACTATTACATATATTAAAAGTTCAACCAATGCTGATGAAGTTTTCCCAGTTATCTCTTACTTAGATAAAGCTCGACTCTAGTAAATTCATCAAGAAACCTCACTTGCACAATATTCCTCAAGTTCTTGCACGTTTAAAAAAAACTATTTTCCCATATCTTAAAACCTAGAGGATCAAACTAAATATAAAACCATTGGTCACAATTTTTTTCTTTCAGTTTATTAAAAATGCTTCTCTATTTCC